ACAGTTTAGACCTTTGATTAATTAAACCGAGTTTGATGGGAGAAAAGAAGAGTCGCATTGGGTCGTTTTTATAGGCCCTTATGAGGAAGGGTGGACCCACATTTAAGGGAGTGGGGTCAGCTCCTTTCGTTTGTATTTATTTGTTTACATCTTAATTATTAAATAAACTTTAAAAAAAACAATTTTTTTAAAGAATCTTTTAATTGTTTGTATCTGATATGTAATTTTATTCCTATTTCTTTTTTTTTTTAAGGAAATTAAAAAAAAAAATAAACTTCTGTATTTTTTTTGTTTCCTTTTCGGTTATTTTTTCCAATTATTTCCCTTTTCAGTTTTTTTTTTTTAACCAATTCTTTAATACCAGTCAAAGTAGGAGTAAATAGTAGTAATATTTACGATTTAATACTCATTTTTAAGGCATCGTATTCATTTTTAATCATTTTTTTTTAGCTTTATGTCACTGAAACAGATTATTGACATCTACCATGATGAACGTTATTTAAATATGTGAAAAGTAATAATCTTAATAAAACAAAGTAATCCTCGGAACTTGCAATTGTTATATGGAATTCCGCATCAGTTTCATGAAGACAGCGAGAACTATTGCTTATTTTTCTCGTTTTTAGTTTGTCTTATGCAATCATGCAGAACATGGATCACTTTTTAAATAAAATCAGTTTAAGAAAAATAACTAATTCTCACAACTTGTGATTCAAATAAATTAGACTTCCCAGTTGGCATGCAATATCACTTTTTGTTTAAACTTCCTTTCGTTTCCCGTGTTTAATTTCCGTAAGTTTATCGTCAATTCTGATCGCTAATCGACGTCAAACACACATAGCTCAATGTTATGTGTAAAGCCTATCTTGTGTAGTTGATTATTTGGGTCCAACTCGACAGGTTTATCAGAATTTTTTTTTTTCTATAATTAATTAATCGTATGCATCATAATTTATACGACAGGCTTATAAGCAAACGTAATCGTATGCATCATGTTTTTTGCCCTAAATTAATGTATTAGATCTTCATTTCTTAAGTCATGCGCATGCACCGGAACATTTATGTCCTCATAATTAAAAAAAAAATGATTAAAAAATAATAATCATATACTCCATATGCATCGACTCTTTATTATATAATAATGTGGTTCTTGGTATGTATGAGGAGTCATTGATGGCGCTAGCTATATTTGGTAACCTTACTGAGTATTGGTTTACTACAAATGAATGATATATAAGCAAAGAAGAATATATTATTGAATACACGTATGAAAATAATATACTTGTGATCCTCTTTTGGGACGAAAAATTATTTTTTAAATCAGAATTTTCAAATATTGTCTGCGGATATTGAGGAGATTATGAGCCAAATATTCGAAACTCCCACGGTATATAAACAAAAAAAAAATACTTAACACTCTTTATTCCAAAAATTTAGTATTTCAAAGTTTTTGAGTTATATAATCATTCGAAAACTATACTAATCAAATTAATGGAAATGTGACCTAGTGGTAACATAAGAGAGTTGATTCTCTTGTACTCCGGGTTCAAACCCTCTTTTGGACGGAAAGTTATTATTTAAATCAGAATTTATAAAAATTGTTTCTGGGTACCGAAGAAATTATGAATCAATGGTTCGGAACTCCTATGGTTTATAAAAATATAAAAAAGAAAAATAATATACTTAACACTCTTTATTCCAAAAATTGAGTATTTCAAAGTTTTCGAGTGTTATATAATCCGATTCGAATTTTCATATGAGTGGAGTTTTTTAAAGGAAATAGTTGTGGCATGCAATCTGCTAGCAATTAGCAGGATCCTATGCATTAGCAATAGTTATTTACCGCAAGATTTGTCTAAATATATTTATTTATTGGTGGCCAGTCACATCTCTATGTCTTTCTCTCCACACGTTTGGAATCTCCGAGATTTTCTCTACATGTGTGGAAAAGGACAGAGCCTAGTGACTTTATGTTGTGGATTCCAATAGATTCCGTCACGTGACAAACTCCAATTAGAAGACGTCTCTCCTCTTCTCTCTTTATTGCCTCTCCCATGTCTTAGGGGTCAATTAGATCCTGCTCTCTCAGTGGAATCTTGTCCTCTCATTCATGTTTTGATGTCCCTACTTCTCGTTGTCTTTATACGAGATTCATTGCATAATTAATTTCCGTTATACTTACTCAAAGTGTCAGAGAAACAAATCAAATTAAGTATCCGTAAATAAAGACATCTTAATTGTTTGTTTAAAAAGTCTACATACAATCAATTCCAATTTTTAAGAAGCTGCTTTCTATGGCTTTGACCGTCGCTCCTGCTGCTTTCTTAATTTTTTTCTTGATTATACAGCAAATTAACCCTATTTCGTGTGTGTTATCCTTTTTTTTTTTCAACATGATATCATTTTGACAAAAAGAATGATTACTCGTCTGCAAAATAATAGAAAAAAAACATTTACGAGAGATCGCTTGAAAATGATTTGTTTACGATGGAAGGAGATTTGTGTGTGTGTTTTTTGTTTATATTAAAGAACATCATGGACGTTTTTACTACTAGGTCACTATAGATCCGGTGGGAATTGTGTTCTATTTGTTTAAAATAACTATAACATCGATGATGTTGTTTTCCATTGAAATATATTTTCTGTTATTGATTATGAAAGCTCTTTTCTACCTAGTACAATGATGGAAATGGATTGAGACATAAATTGTAGAAAACGAAATTTATTTTGCCACCTTACCATCCACCACCAACCAATAGAAGCCAAATTTGACATAAGTTATTTAACTATATATTTTTGTGTTAAGCTAACTCTTTATGTTTTGAATCTTTACTACTATCTTGAGACCAAGATTACATCCCAAGATAAAGTGATAATTCAGAAATCTGTGAAAATCAATAAATAAAGAGTTGCATACATATGAGTGTACTTTTGTGATTCATGGAACTTGCGACCGCCTGGGTTTTTTCGTATACCAAAAACGCATTTGGGCATTTTTCCAAAATAAACATAAATAAGGACTCAAAAACAAAATCTATACAAATACAAGGACTCTAAATGCGTTTTCAGTCTGTGACAAATAAAGAAAATCTAAACAACAAGTCTGGAACTGTTTTCAGTTAGAAGATAGCCTTATCTTACTAAATTCCACGTGACAATTTCTAACTGGCAAGACAATCTACGAGACTTGATCTCAGTGTGCCACGTCAGAAGAAGATCAAAATCCACTCATCTTGACCAAAAGGCTATCTTAAACAAATTACAAATCACACCTATTGTTAGTTTGTTTTACACACAACAAAGAAAAATAATAGTGATCGGACCTCATGGCGTCTCTTGCAATCGCCGCCGCCGTGAAACCATCCGCCGCCGTCAAGGGTCTCGGTGGCAGCTCACTCGCCGGAGCTAAGCTTTCCATCAAGCCTTCCCGCTTAAGCTTCAAACCCAAATCCATCCGGTAATTAAAGCTCTTCATTGACATATTAATTTAGGTTAAAATGCTTACTAAAACCACACAATAAATTGGAACTCAAACGTCATTACTTCATATAAATCCACTAAAATCTCACCTTTTAATTTTATAGATTTTTGCTGGCCAGAATGTGTATAGATAGTGGTGAATATGCTTATATAAAAAAATATTTGATTTTGGGATTTTCTTCTCTTGTAATCAATTAGCTTGAGGTTGTTCTTCTTCATATATTATAGGGCTGGTGGTGTAGTGGCTAAGTATGGAGACAAAAGTGTGTACTTTGACTTAGAAGATTTGGGAAACACAACAGGTCAATGGGATTTATATGGTTCTGATGCTCCTTCACCTTACAACCCTCTTCAGGTTTATTATTCATCTCAAAACCTAAATAGACTTTTCTAATCCAATAAGAGTATTGTGAATAGATTCTCTTCTTTCTTTGCTTACTTGTAGAGCAAGTTCTTTGAGACATTCGCTGCACCATTCACTAAGAGAGGATTGCTCCTCAAGTTCTTGATTATTGGAGGAGGCTCTTTGCTTACTTATGTAAGCGCCTCGTCTACCGGCGATGTGCTTCCAATCAAGAGAGGTCCTCAAGAGCCACCTAAGCTCGGTCCTCGCGGCAAGCTCTGATTTTAAGATTCATGTTATCTTTCTCTTCTTCCTTCTAAATCCAGTAAACATTTCTCAATTCTGCCATCCGTTTAAATGAATTTATGTATATTCTGTTTCTCTGTTACATTTCAAACGTTTTTTTCGCTTTCCTAAATTTTACAAAAGAAATTTGCTTTTCAAGAGTATCGTCCTGCGGTTGGACTCCTTGCGGTTCCAAGAGATTCAAGATAAGATGTAGTAGTCTTCTTGTTGTTAGCCATGATCATGCTCGAGACTCTTGTCAACAGTTTCTTGCCTGAATCTTTGAACGGTGCATCGCTCTTTTCTTTCTTCGGCGGTTCATAAGTTTCCATACCCCATTGCATTACCTCAGAGAGTGAAATTGCGGATGGCTTCTGTTTTGTTGGTCTCTCCTCTAATAGACAAAAGTTTTGTTCTTCTTCCTTCTCTGGACTCTCTATTTCCTTCACTATATATCTCTTACAAACCGCGATTTCAGGTTCCTGAGTTAGCTGATCAGCTTCAAGAACATCTTCAATTCTTGACATTACCGTGTGCGCCAAGCTCTCAACAACTCTCGAGTAACTCTCCAATATAGCTAACCCTATATCCTGCAAAAACCAAATTCAAGATTTTCTTAAAACACAACACAAACAATTAGAGATTAAAAGTGATACAATATAGAGATTCTTTCGATTGATTACTTTGTTGAATTGAATCTTGCTGATGTCAAGTGTGGATTGAGAGATTCCTGGGAATCCTTGTTTGATAAGAAGCAAGATGGTTAATGCTCTTTCTTCTAACTGTTGTCTCTTGTCCATACTCAAATTCGTACTCCATGGAGACGACTTGTTGTCTCTTTCTTTCTGCTCTATCTTTCTCTTCCATATCACAACCGAAGCTTCGAATTTGTTCTGTAGATCAAGAATCTTGTGTTCTGATGTTAAATCCATTTCAAGAAGGAACTGCTCTGCATCAAACATGTCTAATGTTATCATTTTGTAGATCGTGTCTCCAAGACTAGCTCTCCCATTCTGTAAAGTAAACCAGAAAAAAAAAACATCGATAAGGATACCGAATCAATGTAGCTCTCAGAATTTAATGGTTAGGGTTTTATACTTTAGGAAGTGAGTCAATGTAGCTCTCAGGGATCTCCATTTGAGATAAGACTTCAGCGTTTATGGCCATTGCGGATTTAAGCACTTGGCCCACACATTCTCTCTGACTTAGTAGAAACCTTTTCGATGTTTCGGATAAGCCATTAGGTGGAACTTTCACTGTCGGAAGCCACCATTTATCGTCGTTCCTAGTAGATTTATTGCTTTCAGATTCCGGTGAATCAGTTGTGACGTAATAGAACTCATCCTGATCCTTGAATTTATCAAGACAATCCTACAAAATTTGTGACATTTTTACAAACCTTAGATCTTGTTTTGTTGATGCAAATGCAAGAAGCAATCCTTAATGTAATTGTTTTGACTTACGATGAGCATCATATCGAGTTCCTTAAGTGCGGGGATGTTAGTGACAAGATCTGATCTCTGTTTCGTTGTCATTACCTACAAGAGAAGAACTCAGATTTCAAACCACACATAAACAAAAATTTCCATGGAAGAATGTTTAATTTAAGAAACCTCCATGGAAGATCCATTCTTGTTAGTTTGTTGTGTTGGAGAGAATTCAACTATATGATCAGTAACAGAGAGAAGCCATTTGATTTCTCTTCTCCACCGTGCTTTTCTATCCTCGGACATTGGCTCTAAACGCCGTTGTTCTCCAAACGCAGAAGCTGAAAGATTTGTTATTGCGTTTGATAATGCTAAAGCTGATGAAACTCCTTTGCCTCCTCCTGACATGTCTTCTCCTAGAAGCAATTTCGCAAACCTTTCTTTCATCTGTTCATTTCCTGTAACATATGTATAATGCAATAACATGAGTCTCTCTCATTTGTAGTCTTAGCTTGCGAGCCACGAGACCTAATATATTATAGTCCTAGCTTGCGACTCAAGATAACTCTTTATTATAAGAAAAAGTTGTAAACATGGATACAAATTGTTATCTCCCTTGCCTGTCTCTTCTTTTGATTCATCGGTTGCTCCACGCGGTTGAGGCGGCTCGTCCTTAGCCAGAGGCGGTCTAAACGGTAACATTGGCAGGACGCTCGAGGCCGCGGTTTTCTTGAAAACATTGTCATCATCGATATCTGGATCTACGATTCTCAAGGAGGTATCTGAGTTCCATCTCTTGACGTGTCGCGAAGGCGATGAGTCATTCTCCTTCGTGTTCTCGATAACTAACAATCTTGACTTGTAGCTTTTTTGGTCTTGCTCAACGGCTTTCACCATTTCCATGATCTTCTTAAACCTAATGAGAGGTTCTTTGTTTTTCAATCTCTCTGTTTTTTCCTCTTGAAACAAAGAGGAGTTCTTAGGCGGAAGAGACAT